CCCACTTATGTTTCAGATGATGAGGTCTGATCTCCTGGAGGATCTGAAATCCAGGACAGTGACTTTGGATGTAGCTTCCCTTAGAGGGAACCCCGTGATATGTTTGTACCAAACACAGCTGCACCTAAGAAATTGAAATCTCTTTTAGCCTCCTGTAGAAATGTGTTTGGCGGCTCTGTCAGACCTTTTACCACACCAGTGCTTCATTTTTTTTCCTTCCTGCTTTTCTGATTAATGGATCAACCGTGTCACCGCATGTGAAAGGGATGGAAAGATGTTTGTAAAAGCACCCACGGAGTTGCTGCATTGCTTTGTAATTTCTTTGCTTTTTTTGTATAGTGCATTCTGTGAGCTCTCTGTGGGTTTCATAGCCCAGGCTTAGAAAGGACAGTAGCACTTTGTCATACTGCAGCGTGTGGTATTGTTTTCTCTGGTAAAAAAAGTGGAGTTTAGGGGTGCAAAGCGCCCAGGTTCTTTTACATTCCTGTCTGCTCCAACACAGGAAACGGCAGAGTGTGTGTGTGTGTGTTTGAATCCAGTATGTGTGTGTTTGAATCCAGTGTGTGCGTGTTTGAATCCAGTATGTGCGTGTTTGAATCCAGTGTGTGTGTGTTTGAATCCAGTATGTGTGTGTTTGAATCCAGTGTGTGCGTGTTTGAATCCAGTATGTGCGTGTTTGAATCCAGTGTGTGTGTGTTTGAATCCAGTATGTGTGTGTTTGAATCCAGTATGTGTGTGTGTTTGACTCCAGTATGTGTGTGTTTGACTCCAGTGTGTGTGTGTTTGAATCCAATGTGTGTGTGTGTTTGACTCCAGTATGTGTGTGTTTGAATCCAGTATGTGTGTGTTAGAATCCAGTATGTGTGTGTGTTTGAATCCAGTATGTGTGTGTTTGAATCCAGTATGTGTGTGTTTGAATCCAGTATGTGTGTGTTTGAAGCCACAGGCCATCTCAGGCTGTGCCCTGGTAGGAGGCTTTGGGCACTTTCAATCCGAAGCTTTTTTGTTCAGTTGGAAGACTGAGCCACACTAACTCGTGCCTTTTTCTGGGCTAAATTACTGCAGATTTCTCTAAGTGGAGCCAGCCATTGAGGGCCCATATACCATGGGCAGCCCTGTGTAATAAATTGTTGGGAATACACTGCAGGAGTGATCTGTCCTCTTGCTCCTTAGGATGATCTGGCTCTGCTCCTTGTGCAGAAAGTCCTCTGTCAGATGGCAGTGTATGTTCTCAAAGAACCCTTGTCTTTGATAATCTGCTACAGCAAATGAGATCAATGGGTAATGGTGAGGATGACAAAGCCCAGGCAAGACTTACTGGGGCTGCCAACGGCACATCTTCAGCTTGTGGAATGTCTTACCAGTAGTAGCTATGGTGGTCAAGAGAGAAGCCAGTACATTCCCAATATGCATAGCCATGAGTATATAATGCATGTCCTGAGTAGTATACTTTTGATTTTTCTTAAATATTTTTTTATCAGCAGTCTTTGTTTTTATACTTCAAGATACCTCTTCATTTTTTGGAGCCTATGACACAGTTCCTGCTGCCCCAGAACTGTTCATTTAAACTCTTTCTTGGCAAATAAACAAACCTATGGAATGCTATTTCTGCATATTATTGTTAATCACTATGTAATATTTAACTTAGTCATTACTCAGTTCCTTTTTTTATGGAATTAGGTCCTGCTGTAAAAATGCTATAATAGAACAGTACTAATAGCACAGCATTTAGGGACTTAGAGTGACCACACCATACTAATATGTTACAAAATACATCTATGTCAGAAATTACTTCAACACAAACTTATGTCCAAATATTCAAGTTGTGCCAGAAGGAAAAGTCCTTATTTCTTTCTAAATTATCTAAATTTTCACAGTGATACTTAGGAAAAAGACATACTATTTTAATTACATTAAAAAAGAAATTCCACATTCTGTTTCCACAAGTGCCTCTGCAGCTAAGCATCCTGGCTAAGTTATTGCACATGAAAATATTAAAAATTCTAAATATCTGTGTCTGCAGTTATGGGAGTTGTCAGCAGCTATTTGCTTCTATGTTCTTCATTAGTGTTTTGTCAGTAATGCATAGCAATTCTGTTCTTTTCTCAAAAACATAAATGTGGAAGGAAGAAAAAAGAAAGAAGAGAAAAATTATAGAAATGGAAAGTGTCTATTCTTTGGGTAAAGGAAAATGTCATTAGAAGCCAATCTGTAGCTACACAATGGAGTCATTATGAGAAATTTCATGTGAAGTGAAAGAGGATGTGAAAAAAATTCTCTCTTATAGAGACATGGAGATGGTGTTTGTTTTGGTCTTGTATGTAGTGAAAGGTTAGAGGAAGGACAGTCATGAATTCTCAACTCCCTCCCATGACAGAGGGGACGTAGGCCTGTTGGGAAGCAGTCGCAGACCTACAGGTACTGGGTTAATATTCACCAGGGAGACAGATTCTCACTCAGCAAGTGAGAAACCAACTTTCTCGGTCATCTTCTGACCAATGTATGCTGCTTTGCCCCTGGTTTAATAGCTGGATAATTCATAGATTTCTAGGTTGGAAAAGAC